CCAATGAACAAGAGGGGGATTTTCTGACATGTATAGTGGTCCTGTTCCTTCTCCTGGCTGATGGCCCATCTGTGGTGAACTCATCCCGATGGTTCTGTGTTTAGCATCTCCAAGGACAGGATGGATGGATAAAGGCGTGTTTCCATGTGAGCTGGGAGTGAGGCCGTGAGAGTTGTGCCTGGCTCAGATCAAGGGATCAAAGGACCTGCATTCATTTTGGGACACAAATTGTGCAAGTAGAAAATTTACTATGGAAATCTGTCCTCTCCTTCTTAGGCACAGCACTGTCTATTAGTCCCCAGCTAACAGAACTCCAAGGGCCAGCATCGCTCACCAGGGTGGTGAGTTTCCATCAAAGTAGGGATTGGTGGGCACACATCCTGCATCTCCAACCCTTCCTTGACCATGGCCTGGGAATCAGAAAGCATGGCTGCAGGCCTGTGCTGTGAAACATCCGTTCATGGAGAGGTACAAGAAGAGAACCCTTACATCTGCCAGGTGGGCTCTGATTTCCTACCCTCAGGACCCAGGTAAATTTGTCTGTCTCTGGTCCTCTGAGCCTACTATTTCCTATCTGTCCGTGGAGTTAATATCATTTTTAATAAATGTCTTCCTCCCACAATGCTTCTCATTTCTCTCCTAATGCTGCCCCCACACACACAAGACCTTAGAGAGTAGCAGATTGTGTCCAGGAGCAGAGACACAGAGAGAAGCAGGTAACAAGGTCCACACTGAGAACCACTGCATGAGAACCCTGTTCCTCTCTCCTGTTCTCCTTGGAAACTGTCATCTCAACCATAGGCCCCAACCTTCCATGCTCCTCCTCAGGTGACAGACCATGGCTTGCTTGGATCCCATGTTGGGCTTCCTTTCCTCACAGGCCCATCTACGAACACTTGCTTTCCTTATTTCCTGCCATGTTGGTATTCTGTCCTCTGGGGTTCGCTTAGGACAAGACTTCCTTTCTAAGTCCAGTTTGTCTTAACATTTGATAGCCAATGGGTCAGCGTCTACCAGAGTCTGCTGGGACATAAGGACAGCATCCATACTGACCAAAAAGGTTGAAATCCAGGCTGCTTTCACAACCAGAGGTGGTGTATGGGCATTTGACAGTGTGGCTGTAGTTGGCCCCCATATGCTCATAGGGAGTGGCACTATTAGGAGGCATAGCTTTGTTGGAGTAGGTGTGGCCTTGTTGGAGGAAGTGAGTCATTGCGGGGGTGGTCTCGCAAGTCTCCTATGCTCAGGCTGTGCTCAGGGTAGATACAGTTCACTTCCTGTTTCTTGTACATTTGAATGAATAACTCTCAGCTTCTGCTTCAGCACCATTTCTGCCTGCGTGCTGCTGTGTCCCACCATGAAGATAATGCACTAAACCTCTAAGACTAGAAGGCACTTTAAATTAATTATTTCTTTCATAGGAGTTGCTATGCTCATGGTGTCTCTTGTCAGCAATAGAAACCCTAAGACAGGCATGCATGATTCAGATCTGCCAATCACAGTCCTGCATAGATGCAGTTCTTATTGCATCAGTGACAAGCCCTGAATGTGTATCAATCAGGGGCCTTTGCTGAGTCATTGGAAAACTGTCCCATCCCCAGGGGACTTGCTGAAGTTAGGAGGGTGATGGAGAAGTCGCCAAGGCTTCTCATGACTAAAGTAGAGTCTCCTGGGGCAGCTGTGAGATGTCTGCTGTGGTGTAACTGGATCCAAGCCTCTGAGGCTGAACTCAGCAGCAGCCATGGTCACAGTGATCTTGGCAACTGGAGTGGTGTCTCCTCTGAGCATCTTTGGGGTGTTCACAAAATCAGGCTGTCAAAATGATCATCTGTTGAGTCACCTAAAGCATGGTTCAACTCCTCCGTCCAGGCATCTGGGCACAGAGAAGGAACCTCATGGATGGTACTCCAATAGTCATGTGGCTTGCCATATCAGTTTCCATTGTTCAAAAGGGAAGAACAAAAAAGGGGCCCACAACAAAGGCTTACACAGAACCAGCATTCTGAACAACAAATACATAAAATGCCCTCAGGGTGCAGGGAACATGATTGTTGGAATAGGAGCAGACATGGGGTCTAGCCGGGTTACCACTCTAGGGTTTGAGTTCCCCAGCCAGAGCCATTCAGTAACAAAAAGTACTGGAGGAATCTGGGCACGGTGGCATAAGCCTACAATCCCAATGACTGACAGGTAGAGATAGCAAGATTATGAATTGGAAGCTATCATTAGTAAATATAGAGTCTGAATCCAGTCTGGGTTACATATGACTCTGTTTTGGAACCAACAAACCAGAGCTAACCAAAACTCCAACAACAGAAAGGCCATGGAGGCAGGTCATCCATTAGTTCCCTTTGGTTGGAGAAGGAGAACTTGAAGATGTAACAAGTTTTTGTTTAGATTCACTGAAATAAATGTTGTGACTATTAATAGTTTTGTTTAAGCAACATAGAAAGTTAAACAGGAATTGAGAGTTTCTCAGTTTCTGTGACTCAAACTCAGTGAAATGTCAGTTCCTTCCTCTGTCTTGGCTATCTGCAGAATCTGAAAGACTTCATCCAGAGGAATAGGTGGCTGATCTGGTCACCCAGCTGCTCACTAGACTTGTAGGGCACGGTATAGAGTCTCTTCTTGGGGCTCCCCTCTACAGGGGTGCAGGGAGGTGCTCACACTGAGGTTGGGCAGCAAATGAAAAATGTTGATGCCATCAAGGGGAGAAAAAAATAGTTCAGATGGGGGCGGGGCAAATGTGCTACTGTGATGTCCTAGTGCAGCCTGAGTGTCCTGTCTACACCACAGGTCATCATCCTCCACCCTCTCTCTAGTATCCCCTCAACTCTCTCAGGACCCAGTCTGGGCAGCTACTCTGGGTTCCTTCTGGGCTGCATTAATTGTCACTGGGGAAGAGAACTCAAGGTGTGGGAGAGTGGGTGGTGTGACAGATGGGTGGACATGTGGACACTTCTCATCTATGAGTTGTCTGCTGTGGCAGGGCCCATCTGCCTTTCACTGTATTATTTGAGGGAAGTTTCTAGAATTGGAAGGGTCATATGGAAATAGGAAGGGTTGAGTCTATTCTCTGCCATCACTGGCATGGAAAACACAGTTGGGTATAAAATCAGGGTCTGAATGCTGGGGACACGATCAGGAACTGGAGTCTGAAGAGTCACAGAGGCTGGCCTGAGAAGGCCGTGGTTACTCAGGATGAGGACTGGGTAGACATGTGGAGGCACATCAGCTAGGGTTGTCTCCCTGAATGACATGTCTGTCTGTATTCAGGTGCACATGTGTGCTCATCAATGTGGAGGCCAGCAGACAACCTCAGGCGTTACTACTCAGGACACATTTCACCTTGGATTTCTTTGTTTGTTTTGGCCTTTATGAAATAAAATTTATATAACCATTGCTGGTTTGGAACTTGATAAATAGACCAGGACAGTCTCTAACTCACTGAGACCCACTTGTGTTTGCCTCTGCCTCTGCCTCTCCAAAGCTAGAATTAAAGGCATGCACCACCATGCCTAGCCCTCTTTAAGTTTTAACTTTTAAAATTACACTTGTTTATTATGTGGGTGCAGGGCACACTTGTGCTATAGTCTGAGCAGCAGCAAGGTTCTAACACTGCAGTCTAACATTTCTCATGGTCACATGTATGTAAAAGCCCCTTGGACATGGACACTGGACAGCCCCAGGCTGATCTTCCACAGAAAGTGCCCCTCCCCTATAAAAGTGTCATGACTGCAGGGCCCAGTCACTGCTATTGGGGCAAATTGGGTTCTCACGACAGAAAAATGATTACAGCCTGCTGGACAGAAATCATCCCACAGCAGGGTCCCTATGGGGAAACAACTGAGTCCAGGACTTAAAATTAGGACAGAGTTTATGATTTGGGATTGAGTGGCTAGTAGGTGGCAGCAGTGAGGCTGAGCACAAGGTACAGCTGGAATCCTGAAGGACCAACCAGAGTCTGTTGTGTAAAAATGCTGGAGACCAACATCTGGAACATGGCAAGCTCTTTAGGCCCAGTTCTTCCTTTAGAGATTTAGCAAGGGTAATCTTGCTAAGACTTAGCTAAGACAACCTTTACCCACAGACCCTAGACAGTAAAGCAAAGCCAGATGAAACCTGGAGGCAAGCACTCATGACCAAGAGGGCCTCTTCTCAGACCTCACTGAGGATTAAAGACAATGCTGAACTGGAGGAGTGCGTACCTACCTGGCATGCACAGTACACTGGGTTCTATCTCCAGCAGGAGACAAAGGGGCACAATGGGGCACACCTTTCATCCAGAACACGGGAGGACAGAGGGGAGGTTCTATAGAAATTCAGTCATCCTTGGCTACATAACAAGTTCAATGCTCAGCCTGGGCTTCATGAAACCCCATCCAATATGGAGGGGGACGGGCTTTCTGACAGGTACAATAGGCCCAGTCCCCTCTCCTGACTGATGATCCATTTGGGATTAAATCATCCCTGAGGTTCTGTGCTCTGCATCTCCAAGGCCAGGATGGATGGCTACAGAAGTGCGTCCATGTGCAGCTGGCAGTGAGGCCACGGGAATGAGGTCCATGACCATGAGAGCTCAGGCCAAGGGATCAGAGGACCATGGGGACTGTGAGGAAAGCAGAGAAAGCAGATATGACAGAGGGCAAGTGCATAGTCACCTGAGAGGAACATGGAGAAGGCAATCAGTGCCAGGAAATCTAAGGGAATGGGAAGTCACCTTTTCACATGTCACTCTGGGAAAATGATGTCACTTCCTCAAGTACAATCGCATCTTCCTGCCCTTCAGGGATCTGATGGCACCTTGTCATGGGAAAGGGTAGGATGACCCTTCACAAACCCAGCCCTTTGGTCACCACAGCCACTGCCCCCACATCTCACAACTTGACTATTCACGGGCCAGCTGTGTCCACACTCAGAGACGACCCAGGCGATATGTTATACCTGATACAATGATGCTCTGAACCCTTTTTGCCCACCCCATTCAAAGAAGGTTCTGGAACAGCTACAGCTAGAAGGAATCACTGAAGTGTTCTGTGGGAACAGCCTCCCTGGAGTCCAGCAGCAGATCCGTGGCCTTTGAAGGGAGTTCAGAGGCTGCACTGAGCAGGCAGCTGGAAGTCAGTGTGGAGAGTGAGACTACAAGAACTCAATGGAACTGAAGTCCAATCGCCTGCCGTGTGCCAGTCATGTGACATGTGCCAGGCTTCTCTGACCCTTGGTTTCCTCCTCTGAGTGTGTGCTAAGGTTGGTGGGAGGCAAAAATTCTCCTTCAGAAACAGGAGTAGCTATGGAGTCGTTGTCAGGGTGAGGAAGACAAGTCTATAATTTACCAGGAAGCACAGAGAAGTTACAGGTTAGGGAACAGCGAGCCGCCAGGGCGAGAGTGTCCACTGGGCCTTAGGATTCCAGGGCTGCTGTGAGGAATCCCTGACAGGCAGCAAGAGTGCAAAGAGCAGACGATGGTGGGGGCACCAAGCTGGGCCTGGGGACTGAATGTGTTTCCTCATCACCTCCTCCCTCATAGTTTCTGGTGAGCAGAAAATGATCAATCCCTTATCTGTGATTATGAGAGAGAGAGAGAGACAGAGACAGAGACAGACAGAGAGACAGAGACAGAGAGGCAGAGAGAGAGACAGAGAGAGAGAGAGAGAAAGAGAGATAGCCACAGACAGCCAGCATGAGGCGAGACATAGTGAGAAACAGACCGAGGGGAGGGCAGGAGTGGAGGAAATCGGGAGCTGAGGAAACAGTGATTACACGCTGCATAGGGAATGGGAAAGACTGGATGAGACAGGAGCTCAGGGTGGAAGAGAGGAGAGCCCAGCATGCAGAGGTCAAGGCTGCATCTTCCAGCAAAAAATGGGGGCTGGGCTCAAGGGCGCAGTCATCTTCTCACAAGGGCAGATCTTCTGTAACGTGGGAAAGAAGAAGCCAGAGTGATAAAGGAAGTTACTGGCCACAAGGAGGTGGAGAAGGTGAGGTCCTGTCCCCACTCAGTTCTCCACATGAGAAGACCCAGGGAATGTAGGTCACTTTACCCTGACTCTCTCCTGACTCCTGAGCACCCAGGGTTCTTCCACGGGACCTCCTCCACTGTCTGATGGTTCTGCTGGTCTCACTTCCTGGAGGTATTCTGGACATGGCTTTGGTCCTGCTTCTGCTGCTCGTAGCAGCCTGCCTGCAAGCTGGTGAGTGGTGGGAACCTCACTACTGGGGACCTAACCACAGGAGGGGGTGAGTGGGGCTGTGAAGAGTGGGCTGTCATGTGGACAGGTGACTGCTAGAGGAACCAGCCTGTCCTCTGAGCCACAAGAGAGAGCTCATCTTCAGAGTGGGTCCAGCTCAACTCTTCCTGTCTGTCCTGTCCCCTACTGGACAGTGGGGATAGCCCTTCCCGAGTCCTATGCCTGCCTGTGGATGGAGACTTGGGAAATCTGGGTTGTCCTTTCCATCCCCTGCAGCGGTTTCAGATTCTTCCCCAACCTTCCCAGGGAACTCAGCAGTAATCATCAGTTTTAATACCTTTGGTGTCGACCAACCAGCACGCCTATCTGGTGTCCAGGGCAGCTCCATCGAGATCCCCTTCTCCTTCTACTTCCCCTGGGAGATGGCAAAGGATCCACAGATGAGGATTCTCTGGAGAAGGAAGTCCTTCTATGGGGAATTGATCTACAACTCTTCCTCGGGTTTCATACATGAGCATTTCAAGGACCGGCTCATCTTGAACTGGACACAGCCTCAGACATCCGGAGTCCTCAGAATTCTGGATTTGAACAAGAAAGACGAGACAGTGTACTTCTGCCAAATTCATCTGAACACAAAAAGAGGTGTGCAGAGGTGGCAGTCTATTAATGGAACCCAACTCATCATCACCCATGGTGAGCCACCCTGGCTGTGGCTTTGACGCCTCTGGCTTCCTTGTCCCTTACATGTCCCCTCGGGTTCCACAGCTCTGAGACTGGTTTTATATCCCTTTCCCTTGGCTCTGCCCAGGCCTCTGCAAACAGGATCTTTCCACTGTAATTATGTCCAAGCCTTGGCTATCTCCTTGATGTGTCTGTCATTCTCTGCTCAGAGGGAACCCCACCTCTCTCTTGGCTTCAGGTTGTGTCCACCCCCTAGGTCACCTCCATTCTGATCCAAACTAGCACTATGGTCCTGCCCACTTCCCCTTCTCCTGACCTCAAGGTGAATTGACTTTTCCAGGATGTTGCTGACTCATTTGGTCCTGTGTCAGGGCTCCTGTTAGTCCCCGTATAGAGCATCTCCACACAGCACCAACTTAAGGCCAGAATGAGCAGTAGGTGTCCATTGGATATTCTTGGTGTCCTCTGGTCTGACTATGAACTGCTAGATGTCACCACAGTCCCCATTTCCCTTACTAAATCCCCAGAACACATCCCTCAACTCTCTCTACCCACTCCATGTCTCCTCTCCATCTCCCAACTCCCCTTTCTCCTCCATTGCTCTACTCTCCCTTATAAGCACCAAGGATTTTTAAACTAATATCCCAATTTCATGATGTGGTTGATCTGTCTTCTGATCCTGGCCTCTCCTCAGAAGCAGAAGTAACTGCAGGCCCATGCACACTGAGCACCGAGGCCCAGCCTTGTCATCGTGGAACTCTATACATGGCCATCCTGAAGCTGAGGGAGTCTACCTGCTCGGTTATTGATCACAGCCTTGTTCCAAGGCTATTTATTTATTCATGATTTTCACAACACTGGTTCTCATGCTTGAGCCCTGGCTGTCCCAAAATTCACTATGTAAACCAAGCTGGCCTTCAGCTCACAGAAATCTCCCTGCCTCCATCTCCCGAGTGCTGAGACTAGAGTCATGTGCCACCACATCCAGCAGTGACTGTTGACTGGATTAGAGCCAACCCATGAGAGGACACCCACAGCCCAGTTCTCTGTGCAGTCTCTACGGCTGCCATGCTACCTGGTATAATGTCAAAAGGCAGCTGCCCGGGCTCAGGGTAAGGAAAGGAACTGTCTCATGGCTCTAGAGCTGGGATTTTCGACCTTCCTAATGCAGAGACCCTTTATTTAATACAGTCCCTCAAGTTGTGGTGACCCCAAGCATAAAATTATTTTGTTGCTACTTCATGACTGTAATTTTGCTACTCTTATGAATTATAGTATAAATATATGATAAGTAGGGTATTCAATATGGGATCCTTGTGGGCTTATGGACCCACAAGTTGAGAGCTGCGGGTATAGAATTTCCAAATGGGTAAGTGTTGTGGAAATTAACCATAGTGATGTTTGCAGAGCAAATGAATGTCCTCTGCCCTGTGCTGTTCTGTACTCTTATGGTTAAAATTCTATATATATTGTGTGATACAGTTTATGTATTCTGTGTGTGTGATCATGTGGTTTTATACATTTAGGTGTGTGTGTGTGTGTGTGTGTGTGTGTGTGTGTGAATGTTCACATTTGTTCAGTGCACGTGAAGGTTAGAGGACAACTTCAGATGCCATCCACCCTATTTGTTGAGACAGAATCTCTCACGGGCCTCAAGTTTGTCATGTAGGCTAGGTTGTGGGACCGGTGAGCCCCAGGGACACTCCTGTCTCTGCCTCCTCTTTACAGGGATTACAACTCACTCAGCTCTGTTTCCTGTAGAACTCTCTATATAGATAGTCTGGCTTTAACTCTATGTATAGACTCTATGTATAGAGTGTGCCTGCCTCTGCCCCTTGGGCTAAGATTAAAGGTCATGCCCAGTTCACCCAGATCATTATATGGATATTAGGGATCAATCTCAGGTTCAAAGTTCTAGGAGTAAACACTCTGTAGACTGAGATAGCTGTGTGCTTCCTACATTTACAACAAAACTGTTGGGTCTCCGTGGCTTGTTCATCTGTGACAAGATGAAGATCTAAGCACACTCAGCCAGGACAGGTGGAGGGTGTGCACTGAACTTGCTCTCCTAGGGTCTCAGCCTTCAGCATGTGTTCCCCTCTGTGAACTTCTAACAGCTGCTCCCCATCTCACCTCCCATAGAGGAGACAAGATGTGACACTCACCCCATCCCTCCTCATCCAGGGAGGATCTTCTCACTCCTCATCTCTCCCTAGCAGGCAGAACTATCACGAAGAGCCCCTCCATCGTTACCTCTGCAGTCACCACAGCTGGGCTGAAGGACAGAGAAGGCCAAAGGAATCCATCACTTGTGAACCTCGGAGCCACAATTGGGGTGGTAGTGACCACGGCTGTACTCATAACCCCCGTCTATGTGATGCTGATCTTCCTCTGGTGGAATAAAAGGTGAGTGGTCCAGGACAGGGCCTCATCTGATCTTCCCATGTGAGATTTTCTGTTGTGTGACATTGAGAAAGGCAAATGTTTTAGTCAGGTCTGCAGAGTCATGGAACTTATGGAATAAATATATGTATATATTAGTATATAATGAAATTTATTTATGAATATATATAATGAATGTATATATAGGAATTTATTGGAATGGCCTCTAGGCTGCCATTCATCAATGACTAGTTGTGAATGGAAAGACCAAGAACCCAGTAGCTACTTCGTCCCATGAGGTTGGGTGTCTTAGCTGCTCTGTTGGGATCTCGGAAGCAGAAATGAATGTGTGACAGAGGTGAGAGCAAGCAGGTGAAAAATATCCTTCCTTCTTCCATTGTGCTTAAATAGGCTTCTAACGGAAAGTGTGGCCCAGGTGAAAGGTGTGCCTGCCAGCCTCAAGGTCTGGATCAAAGGCCTGTTGTCTTCCTCCCTCAAGATCCAAATCACAAGTGTGCCCTCCGTTTCTAGATTATACCTCATTCCAGACACAGTCCAGATGACAACCAAGAACAGCCAGCGCGGTAAACATGTGCAGGGCAGAGTCACAACGACAGAGAATGAACTCAACTATGTTGGAATCTCTGCCTACTTCCTTAGAGTCCCAGCTGGAAATTAGAGAACCGAGTGCAGATGAACACAGCCTGCTCCTAAGGAATTCAAGGGGCACGCGGGAGCCCCAGGGGCCAACTGCTCCTTTGGAAAGAGCTGTGGCTACTAAACAAGGTCTGAGTTAGAGCAGCCTTCAGGGACAGCATCTCACAGGAAGTGAGACCATGAATAGAGAGAAGTGCCTGAGTTGGGGAAGTGGTAACAACACAGAAATTAAACAACGGTGTGCAATAGACCCACCGGGGAAAAGAACATGTCTGGGAAGAACCTACACTAAGAGAGGTGAAGGATTTGTACCCTAAAAACGACACACGGCTGAGAGAAATTGCAGAACAGCCGGGAGATGGCTCAGTTGGTGATTTGTTTGACCCACAAACACAAGTATGAACATGAGTTCCATCCCCAGGATTCACAGATAAAGTTGACTACATTGGCAGATACTGGGCAGGAAGAGATGATAGGATCCATGAGGCACACTTTGCTGCCAGGCTTGCCCAATCAGTGAACCCCAATCAAGGGCAGACCTGCCCCCAAAACTATAGTGGACAGCTCCTGCAGGATGATACCCAAGGTTGTCTTCTACCACCCACATGTGTGTGCACATAAGCAAATGTACACATACATATATGTGCTGACAGAAATAAATTTATAAAAGTAGGGAAATACTGAAATATGTAAGGATATTTGAATAAGGAAAATTTTTTTAAACTCTTTACAATATGAAGCAGTCTAAAAATTCAGTGCAGTCTCTATCCAAATCCCAATTACTTTTTTGTAAAGACAAAATGATTTGTCTCCTAAAATCAAAGGATTCTAAGAAATAAACACAGGGGACACAGTAGAGGGCTCCTACTGTGGGAAGGTAATGCCAGCATTGGGAAGTGAACCAGGCAGGGGAAATAAAGAGTTCACACTGATCTGAAGTTACATAGAAAGTTGAAGGTGAACCTGGCTTCTACAAGACCTTGGACACACATAAAACAAAGGCAACGTGTGGACTGGATTCAGAGCAGACTTAAATCCATGGTAAGAAGACTACAGGACAGGAGCAGAGATGAGCAGATAGTGAAGTGGATTGGAAAGCCCAGAAACACAGACTTGAACATGCAGGCCCTGGTTTTCAGAAGGGCTCAGCCCTGCAATGGATAAGAGGAGCAGCTAAGACGAGGAGAGCTTCAGTCTGGGGGGCAGCAGAAGTCTGACTGGGATTCGAACCCTGAGACTGAATCTGCAGGGAGCAGCAGCCTGTACTCTCAGGGAAGCCAGGAAGCCAGGTTCCCAGGAGACAAAAGGGAGGCCTGGTGAGTGCAGAGCAGGGAGAGCAGGGAAGGGACAGAGTTCAAGGCAGGGGAAGGAAGGAAAGGGAGAAGGGCATGGACAAGGGGCAGTAGACAGGAGAGCTGTCCTCTGATTGGCTGTGCTGTGCAGGACAGCTGAGGACTGGATTCAGGTCCTGGGGACTCTCAAACCTGTCCCTGAATATTTTCTTCAGAGCTGTTTGCTTCTCTGGACCCCTAATGTTGTCTGAACACAGAGGACAGCTGAGAGACAGACAGAGGATCAGCATGGCTGCCACACTGACACTGGTTCTTCTCCTACAGGCCAGCAGACTAAAGCTGAATCCCCAGTCAGGTGAGCGGCTGTCATTCCATGGAGCAGGTGAGAGGAAGTGTGTTGTGAGAGGCTTGCAAGCAAGGTAGAGAGGAGACTGTGGTAGAAAAGCCTTGCACACGGGCAGGAGGACCTGAGTCTGACTGGGAGCAGCTGCATTATAAGACAGGGAGGTGACAGGAATTTGTAAACCCAGCCCTGGACGAAAGAGACAGCCAGAGTCATGGAGCTGTCCGTCCAGCTAGTCCAACCTAATTGCTGAGTTCCAGACCAATGAGGACCATTTCATAAAAAATAATGTGGATGACTCCAGGGGATAAATCATGCTGATAACGTTTTCCAAATTTACTTTAAAGGAGGTATTTCAAAGTAGCATATTAATGGACAAAGAAAAGTGGGAGCAGTGAGATAGCTCAGTGGGAAAAGGTGTCTGCAGCCTAGGCCAATAACCTGCATTTATTTTGGGGATCCAAATTGTCCAAGTTAAAACCTGACTACGGAAAACTGTCCTTTTCTTCTTAAGCACAAAAATGGTCTCTTAGTCCCCAGCTAACAGAACTCCAGGGGTCAGCATCGCTCATCAGGATGGTGAGTTTCCATCAAAGTAGGGATTGGTAACCACGCATCCTGCATCTCCAGCCCTTCCCTGACCATGGCCTGGGAATCAGAGAGCATGGCTGCAGGCCTGTGCTGTGAAACATCCGTCCATGGAGAGGTACAAGAAGAGAACCCCACTTCTGCCATGTGCGCTCTGATTTCCTACCCTCAGAACCCAGGTCAATTTCAATTTGTCTGTCTCTGATCCTGGGATCCCAAAGTGCTGTTTCCTATTAGTCCATGGAGTTAGTAACATTTTTAATAAATGTCTTCCTCCCAGCAATGCATTTCATGTCTCTTTTCATCACACACACACACACACACACACACATGAGACCTTAGAGAGTAGCAGATTGTGTCCAGGAGCAGAGACACAGAAGAAGGTAACAAGGTCCACACTGAGAACCACTGCTTGAGAAACCTGTTCCTCTCTCCATTCTCCCTGGACACTGACATCTCAGCCACAGGCCCTGGACACTCCATGCTCCTCCTCAGGTGACAGACCATGGCTTGCTTGGGTTCCATGCTGGGCTTTCTTTCCTCACATGTCCATCTACATCCACCCACTTTCCTTATTTCCTGCCATGTGGATGTTCTGATGTCTAGGGTCTCCCCTAGGACAAGACTTCCTTCCCAAGTCCAGTCTGTCTAACATTTGATAGTCAGTGGGTCAGCTTCTACCAAAGAGCATGCTGAGACATAACGACAGCATCCACACTGACCAATGAGGATAAAATCCAACAAGGGAATGACCCCTGAGGGAGTAGGCTTAAGCATGAGGCCTCTGAGGGTCCAAGCATGACTCTGGGACCTCCAAGGGAGTAGACCTGAACCAGAGGCCTCTGTGGGACTGGATCCAAGCCAGGGACATCCACAGAAGCAGGCCCAAGTCAGGTTCTCCACGTAAGTAGACCCTGACCAGGAACATCTACAAGAACAGGCCTGAATCCGTGACCTCTGCTGAAGCAAGCCTGAGACAGCAATCTCCACAATAGCAGGTACAAGGGAACGACCACTGAGGGAGTAGGCTGGAGCCTGTGCCCTCTGCGGGTCCAGGTGAGAGTCCAGGACCTCTGAGGGAATAGACCTGAATGTGAGGCCTCTGCAGGTCCAGACCCAAGCCAGGGATCTCCATGAGAGCAGGCCCAAGCCAGGGATATCTTCAGAAACTCCCTGAGACAACAACCTCTGCCTGAGCAGGCCTGAGGGAGTGAACTCTACAGGAGCAGGCACAAGGGAGGGACTGCCAAGGGAGCCATGGCTAAGGGAGAAGGCTCAAACCAGAGACCTCTGTAGGACAGGGCATGAATCAGTGACCTCTGAGGTAGCAGGCCAGAGCCAGCAACCTTCACTGTAACAGGCCTGAAGCAGCAACCTCTGCCAGAACAGGCCCAAGGCAGCAACCACAGCAGAAACAGACCTAAGCAAGCAACCTCCAAGGGAACAGGCCCAAACAACCAACCTATCAGATAGAGGGCTGATCTCCAAAATACACAAAAAACTCAAGAAATTGTCCATCGAAAGAACAAATAATCCAGAAAAAAATATTGGAATACAGACCTAAACAGAACTCTCAACAGAGGAATCTAAAATGGCTGAAAGACACTTGAGGAAATGCTCAACATCCTTAGTCATCAGAGAAATGCAAATCAAAACAACTCTGAGATTCTATCTTACACCTGTAAGAACGGCCAAGATCAAAAACACTGATGACAATTTATGCTGGAGAGGTTGTTGGGAAAAGGGAACACTTCTGCATTGCTGGTGGAAATGCAAACTGGTAGAGCCCCTTTGGATGTCAGTGTGGAAATTTCTCAGAAAATTAGGAAACAACCTTCCTCAAGACCCAGTAACACTACTTTTGGGTATATATCCAAAGAATGCTCAATCATACACCGAGGACATGTGCTCAACTATGTTCACAGCATTATTGTTTGTGATAGCCAGAACCTGGAAGCAACCTAAATGCCCCTTGACCAAAGAACGGATAAGGAAAACGTGGTACACTTACACAATGGAGTACTACACAGCAGAAAAAAATAATGACATCTTGAGATTTACAGGCAAATGGATAGATCTAAAAAACATCATATTGAATGAGGTAACTCAGGCCCAGAAAGACAAACATCATATGTGGTCACTCATAAGGGACTTTTAGACACAAAGGAAAGAATTCAAGGAGTAGGAGAGTAGATGGTGTGACAGATGGGTGGACAGATGGACAGTTGTCATCTATGAGTTGTCTGCTAGGGTGAGGCCCATCTACCCTTCACTTTGTTATTTGAGGGAAGTTTCCGGAATTGGTTGGTTCAGACAGAAATAGGAAGGGTTGAGTCTATTCTCTGCCATCACTGTCATGGGAAAACACAGCTGGGTGTAAAATCAGGGTCTGAATGCTGGGGACATGACCAGGAACTGAATTCTGAGAGTCACAGAGGCTGGGCTGGGGAGGCCGTGTTTACTCAGGATGAGGACTGGGTAGACATGTGGGGCACATCAGCTATGGATGTCTCCCTGCATGACATGTCTGTGTCTGTATTCAGGTGCACATGTGTGCACATGTGTGCTCACCTATGTGGAGGCCAGAGGACAACCTCAGGCGTTACTACTCAGAACACATTCTACCTTGGATTTCTTTGTTTGTTTGCTTGGTTGGTTTTTATGAGACAAAATCTATATAGCCATTGCTGGCCTGGAACTTGATATAGAGACCAGGATAGCCTCAAACTCACTGAGATCCACTCTCGTTTGCCTCTGACTCTGACTCTGCATCCCCAAAGCTGGAATTAAAGGCATGCACCACCATGCCTAGCCCTCTTTAAGTTTTAACTTTTAAAATTACACGTATTTATTCTGTGGGTGCAGGGCACATTTGTGCTACAGCATGAGCGGCAGCCAGGTTCTAACACTGCAGTCTAACATTTCCCATGGTCACATGTATGTAAAAGCTCCATGTGTACACTGGACAGCCCCAGGCTGATCTTCCACAGAAAGTGCCCCTCCCCTATGAAAGTGTCATGACTGCAGGGTCCAGTCGCTGTTATTGGGGCAAACTGGGTTCTCACGACAGAAAAATGATTACAGCCTGCTGGACAGAAATCATCCCTCAGCAGGGTCCCTATGGGGAATCAACTGAGTTCAGGACTTGAAATGAGAACAGAGTTCATGATTTGGGACTCAGTGGCCAGTAGGTGGCAGCAATAAGGCTGAGCACAAGGGACAGCTGGGATCCTGAGGGACCAACCAGAGCCTGTGGAGACCAGCAGCTGGAGCATGGAAGGTCATTAGGCCCAGTCCTTCCTTTAGAGACTTAGCAAGGGGTGAGGAAGGCAGAGAAAGCAGACATGACAGAGGGCAGCGGTGTAGCCACCTGCAGGGAAGCATGGAGAAGGCAGTCAATGCCAGGAAATCTAAGGAAATGGGAAGTCACCTCTGCTTCCTCTGATACAATCACATCTTCCTGCCCTTCAGGGAACTGATGGCACCTTGTCATGGGAAAGGGTAGGATGACGTCCTACAGAACCAGCCCTTTGGCCACCACAGCCACTGCCCCACATCTTACGACTTGACTATTCATGGACCAGCTGTGTCCACTCTCAGAGATGTCCCAGGCGATATGTCATGACTGACACATTGCTGCTCTGAGCCCTTTTTGCCCACTGCATTCAAAGGAGCATCTAGAACAGCCACAGCTAGAGGGAATCACTGAAGTGCTCTGTGGGAACATCCTCTCTGGATCCCAGCAGAAGTTCTATGGCCTTTGAGGGGAGATCAGAGGCTGCACCGAGCAGGCAGCTGGAATTCAGTGTGGAGAGTGAGACTACGAGAACTCAATGAAACTGAAGTCCAGTCACCTGCCCTGTGACAGTCATGTGACATGTGCCAGGCTTCTCTGATCCTTGGTTTCTTCTTCTGAGTGTGTGGTAAGGGTGGCAGGAGGCAGGAAGGCTCCTTCAGAAGCTGGAATAGCTGTGGAGTCAGTGTCAGGGTGAGGGAGACGAGAATATAACTTACCCAGAAACACAGGGAAGTTACAGACTCAGCAGCAGCGAGCAGCCAGGGCGAGAGTGTCCACTGGGCCTTAGTTTTCCAGGGCCGCTGTGAGGAGTCCCTGACAGGCAGCAAGAATGCAAAGAGCAGACAATGGTGGGGGCACCAAGCTAGGGCTGGGGACTGAATGTGTTTCCTCATCACCTCCTTCCTCACTGTGTCTGGTGAGCAGAAAATGATCATTCCTTAAACTGCAATTATAGAAAGAGAGAAAGATACAGACAACCAGCATGAGGGAGACATAATGAGAAACAGACCGAGGGGAGGGCAGGAGTGGAGAAAATCAGGAGCTGAGGAAACAGTGATTTCAGGCTGCATAGGGAGTGGGAAAGACTGGATGAGACAGGAGGTCAGGGTGGAAGAGAGGAGAGCCCAGCATGCAGAGGTCAAGGCTGCATCTTCCAGCCAAAAATGGGGGCTGGGCTCAAGGGCACAGTCATCTTCTCAGTGACCACAAGGAAGGATCTTTTGCAACACGGAGGGGAAAAAAAAGGCCAAAATGATAAAGGAAGTTGCTGACCACAAGGAGGTGGAGATGTGGAGGTCCTGCCCCTCACTCGGTCCTCCATATGAGAAGGCCCAGGGAATGTGGGTCACTTTATCCTGATTCTCTCCTGACTCCTTAGTACCCGAGGATTCCTCTACGGGGCCTCCTCTCCTGCCTGATGGCTCTGCTTATCTCACTTCCTGGAAGGATTCTGGACATGACCTGGGTCCTGTTTCTGCTGCTGCCAGCAGCCTGCCTGCAAGCTGGTGAGTGGTGGGAACCTCACTACTGGGGACTTAACCACAGGAGGGGTGAGTGGGGCTGGGAAGAGCCGGCTGGCATGTGGAGAGGTGACTGCTCTAGGAGCCAGCCTGTCCTGTGTGCCCCAGGAGAAAGCTCATCCTCAGAGTTGGTCCAGTGCAACCTTTCCCCGTCTGTCCTGTATCATATGGGACAGTGGGACATAGGCACAGTCCTCCCCTGTGTCCCACACCTGCCTATCGATGGTGGCTCGGGAAGCTCTGGTTTGTCCATTCCATCCCCTGAAGTGGCTTCAGATTCACCCCATCCTTCTCAGGAAACCCAGCAGGATTCTACAGAAAAAGAGACTTTGGGGTCATCCAACCAGCACGCCTCTCTGGTGTCCAGGGCAGCTCCATCGAGATTCCCTTCTCTTTCTACTTCCCTTGGGAGTTGGCAAAGGATCCACAGATGAGGATTCTCTGGAGATGGAAGGACTTCCATGGGGAATTTATCTACAACTCTTCTTTCATCCATAAACATTTCATCCATAAACATTTCATCCATGAGCATTTCAAGGGCCGGCTCACCCTGAACTGGACACAGCCTCAGACATCCGGAGTCCTCAAAATCCTGAACTTGACGAAGGAGGACCTGAACACATACTTCTGCCGAGTTCATCTGAAAGCAGGAAATCTCAAGGAGATGTGGCAGTCGATTAGTGGGACCCGACTCACCATCACCCGTGGTAAGCACATCACAGGTCAGCCCTGGTGGCCCTGACTTCCTTGTACCATACATGTCACTAGAGATCGTACACTCCTGATCCTTCTCACAGATTCCTCTCGTGTGTTCTCTCCCCTCCCCAGAGCTCTGCCAGCTTCCTCCTTCCTCTTCCCCACAACCATCCACAAGCCTTAGCTGCTCTCCCTGAGCTGCCCCCTCACTGTGCCCTCAGATTCCACCCCACTCCCGGGCCTCAGCTCTTCCCAGATGCCCAGTCTCCTGCTCCTTTCTCCCAACTGCACTACTGCCCTGCCCACCGCTGCCCTTGTTGCCAGAAATCCATGTGGGTGTGGCCTCTCCAGGATGGAGCAGCCTTCACTTGGTGCTGTGCCAGGGTCTCTGTTAATTCCCAGTTTACATCACATCTCGTGCCTTCCACATAGGGTGCCTCTGGTCCCCATGTACACCCTCCTCCTCTGGGTCCCTCTACTTCTCTAAGTCACATCCCTCACCTTTCCTGCCCCAGTTTCTTTTCCCCCTCCCTCAGTTCCCTCTTCTCCCTCACGTTCTCATCATGATTAGGTCTTCTGCTTGCTTTACCTCCTCTGTGGCAACTGTGACTTCAGTTTCCACACAAAGTACACTCAGGCCCAGCCTAGTCACAGTGTGAGCATTACTCCAACCACCCATCACCACTGTTGGGCACTCTTGTGGTCATTATACAGAGGAGGACACAGAGACCAGCAGAATTCAACCTCTGCCTAAGGATGTTGGTGACAAACAGACCCTAAAGGACCCTTTACCTCCAAGCGTCTCTC